TGTGTCCGCAGGTAGGTCCCTTCCAGCTGGATTCGCCCTACGACGACGACGAGACGATTAACATCCGAAACGCCACGGCGGCGGTGGAGAGGCGGATTGGGGAATTCGGCGCTGGCAAACCACGGTCGTTCTACCATTACGAGCACAACGATATCATCCGAGCTTGGGATAAGAGCTCGAAGTATATGAAAGGAGCCCCCCAAGAAGTCACCCCCGCGCTAGTCTTCGACGTTTAGGTTTCCGGGCGCGCCCCTCTCTCGCGGAATGCGCGTGGATGGCCAACGAGGCGCTCGCGTTGGCGGCCAGTCTGGGCCATTTCTCCGAGCGCCGCCTCAGCCCCGACTGCGCTGCGTCGGCGCAGCGTGGCGGATGCGACAGTTGAGGAAAGATTGGCTGCGCCGCCAGGTCTCGCGCACGCGTCTATGGCTGTCCATGAGGCGCGGGGCTCCCTGTACATTCAGCTGCCGCCAGTTGTAATCGGACACGTTTACTTTTTCGAAGGGGAGATCATCAGGGTGCCCGACTGGGCAGACTGGTGCACTTCATTGGGGCGCCGTTGCATTTCGAGGGCCCGGCCGCGCCGCCTTGCGCGGCCAGGGCAGCGACCGCGTGTTTCTCTCGGGGGGGCGCAGCGGAGCGCAGGCGGTCGACCGCCGCTGAGACGTAGTGGTTCCCCCCCCACCCCCTCTCCTCGGCGCCCCGCTGCCATCCCCCGCAGCTGCGCAGCGCGCGGGAAGTATCCCACCACTCCCCGCATCCCCCCAGCCGGCCTTCAGCATGGCTGACGCCGACGTCCGCGACGAGCTCGGCCGCGCGCGCTCCGAAGGTCGGGCGACGCCGCTGCTTGTCGAGGAGAACCGATTGCCCAAATTCGATCGGCTCGATCCAAATTTATGTGTTTGACGATGCTTCGTCTGTCGAAGCGGGTTTGCTTTTCACATGCGAGTAGTGCCCGGCGTCGCTGCTGCGAATTGCCATGCGGCCAGGAGAAGTTGGACATGGTCGCGTGCCAGCACGAGCTCGCCCTAAAGACGTACTTGTTCTGCAAGGCTTCGATGGCGATGGTGCGCAGGGGCAATCAGATCCCTGACGCCGCACTCGGTCGCGTCGTCTCCTCCCTGACGCCTTCGACGCAGAGCCGGGTCGCCCTCTCGAACATGGAAACGGCCGATCGTGACCCCGTGCTTCCATGCGCAAGAGGCTCAGAGGGCCTGACCGTTCTTGTTGGGGGTTTTGTCGGTCCGCCAGTCAGATCGCGCGCCATGCGTCGGCGATGCCGCGTGGCTCGCGGCACTTGGTCCCCTTCGAGTCGCATGCTCGACGAGCGATTCGAGACTCGCCATGCTTCCTGGCGCGCGGCTCCGGCCGACGATTCCGCAAGAAAAAAGCAGGAACGGATTTAGGCACGTCGTGCCTAAATCCGTTCCCGTGGTTTCGGGGGCTTTGCCAATGACCAACTCCATGTCGTGCGCGGGTACCTGGCCATCGAGGCCGAGCACCCGGCCGACGAAGTAGGGGGTCAAGTTGCACTTCTTGCGCGCGCAGGGCCTTATTCGTTGTTACAAGCATTGGAGGTGTTTTTGTTTCCGTTTTCAATTTCTCGTCCTTTTGATTCGACGAAATGTATTTTTCTGTTTTGAAAACCACACCCCAGATTGTGGGCGCCACGAGCACGACGTTGATATAAAAACACACACATTCAACACGTATTGAAAGCAGAAAAGAAACGAGAAAGTGGGCCACAGGCCGACCCCGAGGTTCAGCGCGTGCCAGACATGGTGCCCCAAACCAGAAAGAAATCGCATATCTTGAACACGGAACAAACACGGCCCCAGCGTTTTCAATATCATTTAAGCGCAGGACTCGACGCTGGGCGCCATATGTATCAGTTGCGGCGATTTCCACAACGGCGCGGACGCTGCCATATCCCGCCTGCACGCCATGCGTTTCGGCTGACGGGTCAGCACGGTAGGTCTACGTGACTTCTGGAATCTGTTCATCGGCATTGGCTTGCCCTGTACGCAGGCAGTACTTTTTAAGGGCTCTGTGAACGCAGCAATGTGGGTGGGGCGCGTTTGCGGCGGGGCCTCGGTGCGAAAACGGCGCATGCGGACAGAAACCAGCGGCGCCGCGGATTCGTCGCATATCAACTGTAGAAGTAGCATCAGCAGTGCACCCAGAAGAAATACGCATACGACGCTGCTGTATGCGAAATGTCAGGAGGAGGTGTAGGACAATGAGCCAACGCACGAGCATGACCTAAATACCGTCACAGTAATCACATGAGTGCAAACACGGCCGCTACTGCTAGACCCGGTCTTCTCGAATGCGCGCGCCACAACCGCGCGCGCGAGCAAGCTCGCGCCATGAGATGCCACGTGACGAACCCCCAAAAAAATGCTTCCGCGCCAAAGAACATCGCAGGCCACATAATCTTAAATGTTACCCCCACGGGGGGGGAGTGATGCGGGAGGAGGGGGGGGTCGAAAGGGCGGGGGGAGTGGGAATCAGGGAAGAAAAAGGGGAGGAAACGAGGGTGAACGGGAGAGAGTGACTAGGGAAGGGGGGGAGGAAATCGAAGGGAACGCGGAGGAGTGAAACGGAGGGCGCAGCAACGACGAGGGATACACCGGATCCATATATGCGGCCCGCGCTGGGTCGAGCGCGCACATTGAATGATGGGAGCAAAGTGCCGACCATGACATGTTGCCAACGTTGCAGCGGGGGCATCATTTGTAAAAGCGCCAAGAATCGTATCGCCGCGCGCACAAGACAAATCAATGCTCGACATCTTGGTCGCGAGAAAAACATATGCGGGATGTGGGCGCCCCTCGCAACGCAGTATCGGAGGAGAGGGTCGAGTAGTATCCATGTTGGGTCACTGTGACGGGGGGCTGCCGACCAGCGAGAGATGAAAGAGGGAGGGAAGGCAGGGGCGAGAGGCGAGGATGGTAGGGGACTGGGGAATGCGCGAGGGAGGGCATGGACAACAATTAGAGGTGCGGGAAGGAGTGGACTCGCCGGAGGGGAGCAGCGAAGGGGGGAGGGGCGAGCTTTGGGTGCGGCCCCGCCACACCTGACATCCTATGGTCCCCTCCCCTCCCATCCCTTTCCCAGCGCGCGGGTTTTCCTTCTTCGCCAACTGGTACCACAGCGGACCTGGAACGACACAACGACCCCACCGTGTGCACTGCAGAAGAGGAGGAGGAGGAGGAGGAGGAGGAGGAGGAGGAGGAGGAGGAGGAGGAGGAGGAGGAGGACGAGGACGAGGACGAGGACGAGGACGAGGAGGAGGAGGAGGAGGAGGAGGGTGAGCAGGAGGATGGGCAGATGAAGTCGGAGAAACACGAGGAAGGAGGAGGAGTACGAGGATAAACATTAGCAGAAGACGCAGGAAGAGCGGAATGAGCAGGAAGACCAGGGGAAGGCGGGGGTGGGGAGATGAAAGGGTGACAACGACGAGGGATCATTCGGATCTAGATCGTTGAAATGTGGCCCACATTGGGGACAATACCGCCATACTGAACGACGGGGCACGTTGGGATTTGAGTTACGCGTAAGAAGCAACACAGTTCGGCGCCATCTTTCTTGTAAGAGCAATCCGCGGAGGGGACCGCGCCTCTCCTCAGGTCGTCTTAGTATTGAAATGTTAGCCAGCGCGGTCACCAAAGAGTGATGCTGTTGCAACCTACGCGGTGCAATCTACACATTGCAGTCTAGGTGGTGCAATCCATGTAGTGCCACATAGGTTGTGCACTTCATGTGATGCAGTCGATGTAGCGCACGGCAACGCAAAGCAATGGAAAGACAGCAACGCGAAGCCATGCAACGCAACGCAGACCAATCCAACGCAATGCAAAGAGCAGCCAAATAATGCACTGCGATGCAAACATATGCAAAGCAATGACGACGCACTGCAAAACGATGCAAGTAAACGCAACGTAATGCAAAGCAATGCAGCCAATGCAATCCGATGCACTGCGACGCAACGCAATGCAACGCAATAGGAAGCAGTGCAAAGCAAGACGATGCAATGTAAACCAGGCAAAGCAATTCGAGGCAGTACAAGGCAACGCAAATCAATGCAAAGCAATGCGAAGCAGTGCAAAGCAAAGCAAAGTGAAGCAAAGCAAAGCAGCGCAAAACGATGCAACGCGATGCAAAGTAATGCCAAAGCAGTGCAAAACAATGCAACGCAACGCAACTGAATGCAAAACAATGCAAACCAGTGCAATGCGATGCTCTGCGACGCAACGCAATGCAACGCAATATGAAGCAGTGCAAAGCAAGGCAATGCAATGCAAACCAAGCAAAGCAATTCGAAGCAATGCAAAGCAATGCAAAACAATTCAAAGCAAGCCACATCGACGAAATGCGATACAAAGCAATACAGAGCAATGCAATACAAAGTCACGCAAAGCAATGCAACGGAATGCAGTGCGTTGCAGTGCAATCAATGCGATGCAGCGAAAGTCAACGCACTGCAACGCAATGCAACGCCATGCAACGCCATGCAAAGCAGTGCGACTAGTTGAGACGGGCGGCGGCGAGCCGGTCAGGACGGCACCGGGGCTCAGTTACCAGCGGTGACGGCGGCGGCGACGGGAGGCGACGAGTGGCGACGAGCCGGCCAGGGCGGTACTCAGGAATCGATCCGACGTCGGATAAGTCATTGCTTAATGGATGAAGAGCGTACGCGAGAGGAGGTATAATCAAGACACATGCGAGCAGGTGCAGGGGTGGTAGGGAGGGGTGATCGCTTGGGTGGCAGAGTGAAGCTGTTGGTTTGTTTGCTTTCGTGTCGCTGCTCCTGCACAAGCTGTGGCTGGCATCTCACAAGTACCACGCGCTGATCTTGCTTATGTTGTGCTTACGCGCTTTCAGTCTGCGTTTCGCGGCATCCTCCAATGAATTTCATGTCATGTAATGAGAAAGCGCGCCGTCTATGTTCCCTTGGTTCCAACACAATCCAGTACGCGGGTGGGCCTGTTACCCTTTCCAGAGCTCAAGCGGTGCGTTCAAGATAGGTTGTTTCCCATTCGGCACGCGCGGCAATGACTGATGCGAGGCGGTATATCTTGGACAAGACGGAAGACTGATGCAACGATCAATCGGGCCAGTAGGTGGAATCGCGGGTGGCCTCGAAGGAACAGAGTGGTGGACGACAGGCGCCGCGATATCATTCTTGTTGATTTGTTCACACCCTTGTTGCCGTCCTGTTTCTGGCACCTCTCCTCGCTCTCATCCGTCTTATCCCCTCACCTCTACTCTCCCTTTATCCGTCTCATTTTGTCCTTGCCATCGTCCTCGTCCTCCTTGTTGTACCTACCCTGCGCAACGCTATGCTACTTCTCTCCCTCCTCCTCATCCTCTCCTGTGTCCTCTCCCTCCTCGCCCTTGTGGAGCTTTCACTCCTATGACGTTCTACCGTCAAGGTGGCACCGGGCTTTCACATGATCTGGGTCCCTAAATCAATATCTGAAGGGAGCTGGCTGGTACTCCATGCTGGCCTCGAGTCGCCCCATTACGGTGTTGGTCTTTCGGATGCATGTCTGGCTTTGGGACAGGACTCTGGCACTACGTCAGTCTCTCCTTCTTTGCGTGCTGACGCAACTGTGGCTGATGAAGGGAATCTACGCACCATCGATTGCTAAAAGAAGACAAGAGGCTGGAAACATGGCACGGACGCACCACACAAGGAAAGTACGAACACTGCACGTTCCCAAGGTTCGCGTGTTTGCTTGGCCGAGGGGGTCGAGGGTAGTTTGAGTTGTCACTTCGCATGTCTATGCCATGATGTGAGACAGTGAAAGCTGAACGGGTCCACTTGTCAAGTTCGGCTGGAGGGGTCGACTCGTTTTTTTTCCAAGTGAACGCAACTGGGGCATTTCACTGCAATGACGCGTGCATGTGTTGTCTGGAGCCTGACCTGATCCACGGAGCCTCGCATGCGAGGCCCAGCGCTGCTTACGACGCAGCTCGGGCGTTCGCAGCAATGGTGGCATCTGTCGTATAACGCTCATCCTGCGCGTGTGAGCACGCGGCTCCCGAAAGGGTGACTCGGGCCTCTCTGGAGTGCTGGCTGCAGGCTCGGCAGCGCAGCCAGCCTTGTCTCTGTTTGCGAAGTCGGTTGTGGCCCTCTCGACGCCACCGTCGGGCCAAAGCGGGCTGCGGCCTGGCTTCGGCATGTGCACACGCTGGTGGCAGCCGCACGCGGGCGCGAGCACGCCGCCCGGGGCGCGCGGGCCCAGGCTGCAGCCCAAGGGAGGACCTCCACCGGGCGAAAGGGACGGGTGTGCCTCTCTCTCGCTCTCTCTCTCTCTCTCTCTCTCTTTCTGTCTCTCTCGACGGCGCGGCCGAGGGGAGGGGGGGGGAAAGCGAGAGGGGGCAGGCCTTCACAGAGGGCTCAGGAGGCCTCCAGCCTGAGCCTTTTCCCGGAGGCAGCGAAAACTTCTCAATAGGCGCGACGGCTTCTGAGAAGGCCCGCCGCCTTCTGAGAAGGCCTGCTCCTGCTCACTTCCCCCAGGGTACGCCGCCGACTCTCTTTCTCGGGTTCGGAGGACCTCTTGCACCTCTGGCCCGCACGGCGTGGCAGGTGTGGCGCCAAAAACCCTGTGAACTACCAACAGTCCCACACAATGAGAGATCCAATGACTTCACGAGCTTGCTCGGGCTCGCGAGCGTGGTCTCATGACTTTGTGCTCTTCTAGACCTGGCCGTGCGAGCGTCTGCCAGCCCAGATGGACACGATACGAGCGGAGCTAACCTCGCCGAGATTTCTGTGACTCTGTCAGAGTCTTTGGGGCGTCTCCGCGCGACGTCGTTCACCTCTCGAGTGCACGCACCAGGAGGTCTCCCGAACGGAATCCCGGGAGCTGGGCTGAGGAGGCGAGTGGGATAGCGAGCAGGATGGGGATGAGCATGCGGAGGCACAGGATGACGACAGGGCCCTCGTGCTCGCTCTGCGGCTATGCGCCGCCAGCACTCCTTGACGTCGGCCTGCTGCCGGCAAATGTTCTGGGGTTTCGGGCTCACGGGTTTGGCCGGACTGGTCTCATACTTCGCCCCGCGTTCTTTGACAGCGGCACGCCCGTGTCACAAGACTCCCGCTGAGGTGTCTCTCGCCCCATGCAAGTACACTGACAGGCCCCTGCGCCCGCAGGGGAGCTGGATCGGGGAGGCTGAGGGGCCACGGTATCGGTGGACAAACACAGCGTGAAGGGGTGGCGGGAGGGGCGTCGGGGATTGACAGGATGCAGCAGGGGGCATTCGAATAAGGAAGCAGGACATGAACGACGACTTCGGGAGGTCCGCGCGGCTTCCTGAACCCACGCGTGGCGCCTCCGGCGCCGCCGCGCGTCCCACCAGAAGTTTATGTCCGTGCAGATGTCTCCTCCCCCAGGGAGGAGGGATGGGGGAGGAGGGGGAGGAGGGGGAGGACGATTAGGAGGAGGACGATTAGGAGAAGGAGGAGGAGGAGGAGGAGGCAGAGGGCCAGAACCTGCATGCCCCCCCGAAAGGACCCGTCGGGGGTGGACCCCGCCGGCTTCGAGCACTACGTGGAGCTCCTGCGGCAGGGCTCCGCAGGCCGGCCGGGCGGGCGGCCGACGAGGAGGGCGGCACGGCCAGACCGAGGGCACAGGGGATCGAGGTCGGTTCGGGGAGGGTGCCCCCTGCGTGCTGCGTGCCTGCTGGAGGGTCTCGTGTGCTGCCCGGGGAGGGTGCCGGATTGACTGCCTGTTTTGGCCGACGGAGGGCCTCACGTTCCTAAGGGGCGCTCTCCTGGCCGACTCGGGTACGACAGGCCCTCGGCGCCCCCCCCCGGGCCCCTCCTGGGCTCCCGCGAGATGGGCCCACTGAAACCGGGACATTGAACACTTCAGCTGGTGAGAACAGAGAAAGGAGAATGCTTCCACTCACTGCTTTTGTCTTCTCTTTCAAAGTTCCCGTCTACGGGGCCTTGGCGAGACCCCCCCGACGGCTACTCGCCCCGCACCGGCCAGCACGCGAGCGACTTGACAAATGCAATCGTCAGTAGGAACCCCTCGCGCCGATAATCGGCGCCTCGGAAAATTACTTCAGCGACGCTCCTACGGCCTGTGTACAGTCGGAACGACGTATAGGATCGAGGTCGGTTCGGGGAGTGTATCCTAATATTCTTCGTCCTTATTTCACGTTCTTGTGCACCCTGGGGAGGGTGCCCTTGGCTGTTTTCTATGGTTTGGTCGACGGAGGGTCTCATGGTCTTGTGGAATGTTCTTCTGGCCTGGGTCCGACTGCAAGAGATCGCTCGCCGCCAAAACTCCGACATATCAGAGCAGAGGGGCGGTATACTTCAACAGACTTACGCCATTCCGCCAACCATGAGCTCGCCGCCTGCCATGTGCTGTAGCGTGGCTTGTGAGAGCTTCCTGCTCGAGCTCGGCAGCGGCCGTTGCCGAATTTGCTAAGTTCTTATAGGGGGCTTGCTTGGCGGCGGGGCAGGGGGAGGAGACGGGAGGATGCTCGTGTACTTGTGATATGTGCTTCTCCTTATCCGCATTTCTTGCTTCTCGCTCCCTTCTCTCTCCTCCCTTCCCCGCCTACTTCCACCAACCTCCACCTACAAGAGGCGTGTGTTTGTTCTCTTGTTCTCCGCCTCCTCCTCCGCCCCAGTGAGCAACCTCCTCACCGCTCAACCTTCCTATCCTCTCCCAGCACCGAAGATGTTGTTTTGAGCCTATACTTCCCCTTATCTTTTCACTGCGTCTCCACATCACCTGACCAACATTGCCACCTCTCGCTCGCTCCCCGAGCGCTACATCCGTCGGAGAGGCACCTTGCGCGTGGCCGCCGCGTCTCGGGTGCTGCAGCGTGAGGCGGGGTTGGTGGGCGGGGCTGTGCCACTCACGCCTTCTCATAGCAGTCTCTTTGGTGATGGAGGAATTAACAGATTGGGTGAGGAGGAGGTTCAGCAGACCCAGCATGTGTTTGCGGTATTGCCATTTCGGCAGTGATGGGGCGGCGGGAACAGAACATTCAGAGCGGCAAATGGTCGACGAGGTGTTCAACATGGCGGCGCCGATGCCGCTATCGGCTTACCATGGCTAGGGAAACGGGCTGGCAACCGAACTCCACAGCAGGAGCGTGTTTGGTCAATCGCAGAGGACCCAACCTATCGCGGAGTGAAGGGGAATAGATGAGTTGCAGATCGTACAGCTCGGCCATGCGCACCATCGCTAAACTATGCAGATGTCATGGAGTATTACTTTGGAGAGTGGGAAAGGTGATGGAGGAAAAACAGTTTGCAGAGCTTGCAGGGATTGCAGTGCAACCCCAAGTAGCAGTCAGCACGGAAGAGAATCGGTGATGATTGATCGACCAGTGCATTTTTAGTGGAACGTTGCGGAACTAAATGAAGGCCTTGGGCCATTGCCGCCTGCCGCGCTACCCCCAGAGTCAAGGGACCCATTGTGACAATTGGCCCCTTGATTCTGGGGGCTTCTTCTTCCTACTCGTTCTCCATCGTTGTCGTCATCTCCCTACTCGTTCTCCGATCACTCCCCCTCTCAGCGAGTCCACTTTGATTCATCGGGTCTCCAATGGGTTCATCTTGGACCCTCTTAAGCCAATGCCTGGGCACTCTTGCTGCCCTCTTGGAGCCTACTGGAGCCACCTCAGGGCGCTTATGGGTGTATGTTTCGCCCTCTCGTGGGTTCTTAGGTCACGTAGACGCCACTTCGGGTAACGTAGGCCAATGCTTACAAGGGGTTCCGTCTTACCACCCTCGTCGAAACGAACATCAAAAGCGTGTCACGTCCGGAGTACTTGTTCGCGCCCACTCTCCAATGTCGGTCTTCGTGGAATTTCAGAGTCGCGCCAGCCCAGACCGCCGTCTGGTCTGCTTCGACATTGAAGGAGACGAGGTTGAAGGGCCGAAAATAACCTAGATTGGAGGGGTGCGTCAAAAACGTTTGAGACTCATGTTGTCGAAGGCTGGGCGCGCGGAATGAATGTGAGGGCGGGCTGACTGGCAACGATTGGCTAGCGATTTCGGCGCACGCGCATCTCGAGTGCATAGCAACTGCGACCCCCCAGGTGCTTTCCGTACTGACTTGGTTCTCTCAGGATTGACCCGCATTTGTTTCAGATTTTCGTCTCGGGCACAAAAGAAACGTTTCTCGTTCACATAATCCACAAGTGGTTGAACATCTACGGGCCCATCGTGTGTAACAACAACACTCGATGTCGAACGCTCCTGGTGGCCACAGATGCTATGAATGTGCAGTCCGCTTGGTCCTGGCGGCGCTGCTGCGTGTAGAGTCAGCCAGGTCCCGCCCCCGAGAGCGGCCGCCCAGGCCAGAATCCATCATCGGCCATACTGTGCGGATGCAAGCAGGCAAACGTCGAACGCTCTCGCTGTTGGTGGCTCGAGCATGCTTGTTCCACTGCTCGCGGGTGCCCGGGTGTAGAAACAGGCGGCAGGGAAAACGCGGTCCAATGACAGATCCCTGAGCACGCATGGCGCGGATACAAGGATGGAGAGGTTGAGGCAACACGCGGGTGGAAGACAGGCAGAGGCAGAATTCTACAATGAAGACATTCGTAACGAATTGCCCTCGTCAGGACTAGTCTCGAAAGAGCGTTAAGGGCGAAGTGCTCGTTAGCGCCCACTCTCCAACGTCGGCCGTCGTGGAACTTCTGAGTCGCGCTAGCCCAGACAGCGTTTCGCTTTGCGTTCTCTTTGCTTCGCTTCGGTTTCGCTTTGCATCGACATTGAAGGGCCGAAAGAAAGCGACATTGAAGGGGCGCGTCGACATCTTTTGCGGTTTATGTTGTCGAAGTTGGCGGGAGCATGTAGCTGCTTCTGCAATTCATGAGGGATCTGGTCTCTGGGAACGCGGGCCCGATTCGGTTTTCACGTGGGACCTCTGTCCTGTGAGCGCGGACCCCTCGTGATTGATGAGGGGTTGTGGCCATGAGAGCACGCAACCGCCACAGCCAATACTTGACGCCATAACGATCACGGCACTTCAGCCACGCAGCCCCTGATCTTCACGAACTTGGTGGCCCCCGGGGGCGGGGGGAGGGGGCTGCGGCCGCGGCCCTTGCCGCGCTCTCTCTCTCTCTCTCTTCTCTCCTCGCTCCTCCTCCTCCTCCTCTCTCCTCTCCTCTCCCTCCTCTCCTCCTCCTCCTCCTCCCTCCTCCTCCTCCTCCTCCTCCTCCTCCTCCTCCTCCTCCTCCTCCTCCTCCTCCTCCTCCCCCCCCCCCCAGGGTGAGGCCTGGCACCTGTTCTCATGGTGTCAGTGCCGAGCACCCTCGGGGCACACTGTACACGGCACTTAGTTTGTGGACGTTGCGAAACCTGTATCGACGGGTCTCCCGTCGTCGGGTGTAGCACGGCCCCAGTCTCAGCCTGGCCCTGCGGGTGAAGGCAGGTGGCGGCGCCTGTGCGGTCATTTCATTGTGATCTGACCCTCAGGGGTCGGCATTTCCTCGGGAGGCGGTGGCTTGTGCCGCGTAAGTCCCAAGGGGCCTTGTGCCTACCCAGGGCTTGGGAGTTCGTGCTCCTCGGTATGCTGTGTTGGCTCCCAACGCGCCATGTCGGAACCGCTGGGCCGCGAGTCTTCACAGGCGACGTGGTCACCCCCTGTGCCCTTCCTGCGCAGCTGTTGCCGCTCTCCGGGCGGTAGTTCGTTGGCTGGGCGTGTGCAATACACGGTCGGCCTTCGGGAGACCGACCCTGGGCGCCGGACTCCTCCTCCTCCTCCTCCTCCTCCTCCTCCTCCTCCTCCTCCTCCTCCTCCTCCTCCTCCTCCTCCTCCTCCTCCTCCTCTCTTCTCCATTTCCTCCTCCTCCTCCTCCTCGCTCCTGCTCCTCGCTTTTAGGAAGCCTGCGCGTGGGCTCCCTCATGGCCCGACGCGCCGAGCTTCCCTTGCTTGCCACAGGCGCACAGGGCGCACTTACTCGCCAAGGCCGCGATCGGCGCCGGGCATAGCGTGCGCGCTGTGCCGTTCATGACATGGCTGGCTGGCCACGCGAACGGGGGGGGTGGGGGGAGGGGGGAAGGCTTCTCGGAAGCACCGTGCTTCTTAGAAGGCGCAGACCTCATCTATAGGTGTAAGGGCGGCGCCTTCTAAGAAGCAGCCTCCTCAGAAGACTTCCCCCCCGACCCCCTTGAACGCGCCGTCGAAGGCCTTAGGGTGCAACTCCTTGGAGGTTCAATGCGGCATCTGCGCTGGTATATCCGTGGTCGAAAACTGGCCGAATCCACCATCATCCCGCGCAGTCTGCTTTAATTCCTCAATTCCGCCCAATCTGGCTTGATCCCGCTTGATCCCGCCTAATCTGGTTTAGTCCTGGGCTTTGAGCTGGCCTTGTCCGGCCTAGCGGCCTCTGAATGGGGTTGAATAGAATGTCGTACTTCCTTCGAAAGACTCCCAGGAGTTGCTTCACAACCCAAGCCTTTGGAAAGTTTGGTCGGAGACCGCTCCGTACGAACCACGAGGGGAGTGAGATTTTGATGCGTTGCCGCTCTTGGGCCTCCTCGGGGCCCGTCGAGTCGTCGCCGCGGCCGGACCTCGTTCGGAGTCTTGGTCAGACCCTTCTGGGATAAGTCCGGGGGCCGACGGTGGGGGAGTGGTGATAGTGAGGAGCAGGAGGAGCAGGAGCAGGCGGAGAAGGGGAAAGACAAACAATTGCATCGACACATTTTCTCGAATGCCCGCGCGGATTTCATGCATCGGCGTCGGGCCCCCCTGGCAGCACCTCCGCCGCCGCCCCGGGCGCGCTCTGCGCGCCAGGGAGGGAGGTCAGTGCAGATTCAAGAAATCCGCTCGGACCTCCCAACGTGTTTTGTTTATGCAAAGTTCGATTTCGCTGTAGGGGGCAAGGTCATGCAAGGCAAGCGCTGAGTCGGGCCAGGGGTGGAAGTTAAACTGGACACCTGCACACATCGAAGCAAAGGAAGCGGAGGATGAGGAGGATGAGGAGGAGGAGGAGCTGGAGGAATTGGCGGAGTTCGCGGGAAAACAAAAAGAAGCAGGAGGAGCCAGGTCGCCTTACGGATCGGCCCGACTCGCAGCATCATGGATGATGAATGGGTCGAGAGTTACCTTGGCGATCTATGCCAGCCACGTGAGTGTTGGTCGGGGGCCGGTGTCGGCGAGCCAGATTCCAGCCCATGGTTGTCGGCAGATCAAAGCACGTTGGGTGACCCCTAGGAGGAGGAGTGGGGGCAGGCGAGCCCCCAGTTGCGGTCTTGAGTCCCCGTCGTTTTCTCTCGAGGTGCCCGTCAGGGCAGGTCGAAGATCCTCACACTTCAGGCCTCCAGCATGGGGTCCGACTAGACGTAGTCGGAGGGTCGCACCGCATCGGCGATGCAGCAGCGATGCAGCTCAATGCAGAGCTGGATTTTCCCAACGCGACGGCTCCGATGCATCGGCGATGCAGCGCGCCCCCCCGACCACATCTGCTCGGACCCCATGTTGGAGACCTCTATACAAGTCATGGGCCGAAGGTTGGTACAGCTTGCCCCCCATTTTATCCCCCCCTGGATTTTAAGCTAGCTGGCAAGCACGCCGTGAACTTTGATGCAACCGGTTGCGGGGCGCCCGCTACACTTGCGGGAACGATGAGCCCTAAGGTGCAGGGTACTCGATCTTGGACGACCCGGCTCGTCTCTACAGCGACTTCCGCCCGACGGTGGTCCCGGCACCCAAGCTAAAAGCCGCTATCAAGGATCCAGAGGATGCCCCTTTTGCCGATGCCTTTGTTGCTGCTACTTTCTGGACCTGCACCCTCTTCTGCTCCATTGATCCTTTAACGTATGTCACAAGCGAGTGCCCCCCGCCAGCCGCTTCACCTGCACACTTGGAAAGCCATGGCGCATAGTGAAATTGGAACTGCAAGCGATCGATACGTAGCTCATGGTTGCAGGATGAGAAAATCTCTGAGTCTGAGGCTCGTCGTTCGGCACCGAATATATGGCAACGCATCGCAGGAGCCATTGGTGATTATGCTGCCTCTATGTCGCGGTGTGCACAGATGTCTGTATATTATGTATGTATGGATGCACGTATGTGTGTTTCCATGCATGTATGTATGCATGCATGCATGCATGTATGTATGTATGTATGTAGATATGCATGTTTGTGTGTATGCATGATTGTGTATGCGTGTGAGGCCATGGCTGCATGCATGCATGTATGCATGTATGTGTCTATGTATGTATGTGTGGATGCATGCATGTATGCATGTATGCATGTATGCATGTATGTAATGCAGGTAGTGTAGTTATGGATGCATGTATGTATGTCTGCATGTATGTATGTACGCACGTATGTATGAATATATATATACGTATGCATGCATGCATGCATGTATGTATGTATGTATGTTGGTGTGTACGCATGTATGGATGTATATATGTATGTATGTATGTATGTATGTATGTATGTATGGGTGTATGTATGTATGTATGTATGTATGCATGCATGCATGTATGTATGTATGTATGTATGTATGTATATATGTATGTTTGTATGAGTGTGTGCATGCATGTATGCATGTATGTGTATATGCATGTGTATGTGTATGTGTGTATGTATGCATGTATGTATGTATGCATGTATGTAAGTATGTATGTATGCATGTGTGTATGTATGTATGCATGTATATGTATGTATGTATGTAGGTATGTATGTATGCCTGTATGCAGGTGTACGTATGTATGTGCGTATGTATATATGTATGTACGTCTGTCTGTCTGTCTGTCTGTCTGTCTGTCTGTATGTATGTATGTATGTATGTATGTTTGTATGTAGTTGTGTGTATGTCGGTATGTATGTGTGTATGTGTATGTGTATGTGTATGTGTATGTGTATGTGTATGTGTATGTGTATGTGTATGTGTATGTGTATCTGAATGTGTATGTGTATGTGTATGTGTATGTGTATGTGTATGTGTACGTGTACGTGTACGTGTACGTGTACGTGTACGTGTACGTGTACGCGTACGTGTACGTGTACGTGTACGTGTACGTGTACGTGTATGTGTATGTGTATGTGTATGTGTATGTGTATGTGTGTATATATGTATGTACGTACGTACGTACGTACGCACGCACGTATGTATGTATGTATGTATGTATGTATGTATGTATGTATGTATGTATGTATGTATGTATGTCTGTGTGTATGTACTCCCGCCTGGGAGCGTTCCCCACCTCCGTGACATCTGGGGGCAACTCCCGGTACCGCGCCCCTGGGCCTCCCAGGCAGGCCCCAAAGCGCCTTAGGACGGCCCAAGACGCCCCCAAAGAGCCCCCAGAACGCGAAAGGACGGCCCAAGACGCTCCCACGCAGCCCAAGACAGATTTCCGACGGCTCTCCAGGCTCCCAGGAGGCCTCCAAAGACCTCAAGAGAGCTCCGAGAGGCGTCCCGGGAGCGCCCGAAGAGGCCAAAATCGTTGATCGACATGTGTTCTTCCCAACCATCCTGTGGTGTTGGGTCCTCGTTTTGAGAGGCAGCGCCCCGCGTTCCTCTCCTCCTCTTCCTCCTCCTCCTCCTCCTCATCCCCCGCCTCCCTCCTCCCATCCGCCTCGTCACCTCCCTGCGTTTCATCCACCCAGGACAACGTTCCGTGGCCCCACAGGGAGCTCCACCGAAGGCCCCAGTGGCAGGGTTCGCATGCGTCCCCCCGCCCATATCGGCACACCCCTCACACGCTTCGTGGCCCCATAAGGGGTCCGCCGAAGGCCCCAAAGGCAGGGTTCGCATGCGTCCCCCTGCCAATATCGGCACACCCCTCACACGGTTTGTGGCCCCGAAGGGAGCTCCACCGAAGGGCCCAGTGGCAGTGTTCGCATGCGTCCCCCCGCCCATGTCAGCACACCCATCACGCGCTTCGTGGCCCCGGAGGGAGCTCCGCCGAAGGGCCCAGCGGCAGTGTTCGCATGCGTCCCCCCGCCCATTTCGGCACACCCCTCACACGCTTCGTGGCCCCACGGAGCTCCACCAAAGGCCTCAGTGGCAGGGTTCGCATGCGTCCCCCCGCCAATTTCGGCACACCCCTCACACAGTTCGTGGCCCCATAGGGGCTCCACCGAAGGCCCCAGCGGTTGTGTTCGCATGCGTCCCCCCGCCCATTTCGGCACACCCCTCACGAGGACCGTGGCCCCATATAGAGATCCACCGAAAGCCCCAGCGGTTGTGTTCGCATGCGTCCCCCCGCCCATTTCAGCACACCCCTCCCTCACGAGGATCGTGGCCCCATAGGGGGTTCCACCGAGAGCAGTACCCACAACGCGGTACTCACAGTTGCATGTGGTTGGGTCCTTCGCCAGGATAATTATATGGTTTTCAGCCCCTTCGTCTTTTCGAGACCCCAACGCGCTAAGCCAAGACCACTCCAAGCGCCTATGAGAGCCCTCAAGACGGCTCCAAGACGGCCCAATAAGGCCCCAAGACGGCCCAAGCGCGCCCCGAGCAGCCCAAGAGAGCACCAGGATGGCCCGAAACGCCGCCCAACACGGGGAACGCACATCGACAGTCCTGGCTTTCCGTTTCAAGAGGCCCACAGGAGGCCCCAAGAGTCCCCCGACGAGCCTGAAGAGGCCCCCAAGAGTCCCGAAGAGACCCCAAAGTGGCCCCAGGAGGCCCCCAACAGCCCCCCAGCGGCATCCAAACTGCCTCCCAAGAGCCCCCTGCACGCCTCTTGGCCCCCCCCCGATTCCTGCGCATTAGATGTTAGGAGGCTTCATTTGCAAACAAAAGAAGTCCAGTGATGCTCTTGCTGTTCAGCTTCATCCCGAACCCCATCAAGAATTCGGGGTCACATTGCACAACTGTTTCGGGCATGCAGTTGAACTCTCTGTTGCTGTCTTGGCACTCTCTCGGGTCGTCTTCGTGTCCTCTTGGCTGCCCCTGAAGCCAACGTAAAAATCTAGCTCACATGAGTTCACCTGTCCAACCTAGCTAAAAAGTCAGCGCGCGCGCGCGCCAAGACAGAGCCACAAGAGCGGACCTGCCCAAACCTTTCGAGCGCTTTGTCTCAAAATGGCCCCGAGGTTCTCGCGAAGGCTCTCGAGGTGCCCCTCAGATTCCTTCAGGGACTCCCGGGAGGCTCCCAGGAGGCACCAAGAGCTTCCAAACAGGCTCCGATACACTCCCAAGACGCCGCCAAAAGGCCCCAAGAGGCGTCCCAACAGTCCATTGCTTGTATCTGGGAAACTTCTGACCCACGGCCCAGGCATGGCAGTTTGATTTGTTGTTCAAACGCATCCCCTGCTTAGTTTTGCACACCAGAGCATAAGTAAGGCCCCCGTCACCACCGAATAAAGATCCCAGGAAGCCTTCGAGGGCCCCAAATCACCGACCACCTCAACGAAATCTATGATTTTGTAGTTTCCGCACTTCCCCTTCTATACGTGTCCGAGGCTTGCGCAGGGACTCCAAGAAGGTCGTTAGATAAGAAGGCACTTCAGCAATTGAAATTCCAGGCGTTCGCCCGTCGAGCCTAGCTAGAACTTGAGCGCGCGCGAAGCGCGCGCGATGGTTCTAGTATGTTTGTGTATATAAGCACACACACACATATATATATATATATATATATATATATATATATATATATACATGTCTATATTTACATACTTATATCTATATGGGGAGGGGCCAGGGGCCCCGAAGAGCCCTGATTTCAGTACGCGACATTTGGCCCCTTCCCTGGGCGGCTCTTGGCCCTGCTGGCACGTGCGGCAGGCTTTCAAATTGCTCACATGCGGCCGGCATATCGTTCCAAGACGCCCAACATGGCCTCAAGACGCCCCAGGAGGCCCCACAGAGAACTCCCAAGAGGGCTTCGAGCGGCAAGCATGGCCCCCTTGCCATAAGAAAACGTATATGTTTTGAATGTTCGTCTCTGGAGCTTTCAGAGCATCCAAGACGACCCGCGATGCCTCCAAGATCGCCCCAAGACGACCCAAGAGGCTCCCTACAGGGCTCCATGACAGCCCAAGAGGGCCCCAAGAGGGCCCAATAGGCCCCCAAGACAGCCCATGAAGGCCCATGACGGCCCCAAGAGGGGGCTCAGAGGGGGTACCCGAACCGATAAGTCAAGCCTTCGGCCCCAAGACGCCTCTAGGATGCCCCACGAACCCCCCAAACGCCCCCAAGGGGCCCCAACAGGCCCAGAATACGCCCTCAGGAAGCCCCAAGAGGCCCCGAAGAGGCCCCCCAAAGCCCCCCCCCCCAGACGCCCTAAGGCTCTCATGGCAATCCCGAAGCTTCCAGAGAGGAGATGCGATGAACGGCCGTCCTGACGCGATCTTGGGCCGTCTTCGAGCTCAAGGTGCCCCCGTCATGGCCCAACAGGTTCCAGAAACGCCCGAAGAGAACCCTCCTGGGGTTCCCAAGAGACCCTCCAGAAGCAACTTACCAGGTGACAAACCCAACCAGGATGGACTTCTGAGCGCCCCAGAGGCATTCAAGGCCCCCGCAAGAGGCCAGAAGAGGCACCGACGAGTCACCAAAAAAAGCCCCCACGCGGCCCGAAAGTGGCCCAACGAACCCCCCAGAAGCCCCCACAGAAGACATCCCAAGAGACCTTGATGTTCGACCTGCTCCGCATCCCGCGCGGATCCCTTGGATCGGAGGTGGGCTCCCCTGGCGGCGCCCGCGTCGACGCCCATGGCGCGCTCCGCGCGCCAGGCAGAGGGGTCTAGCGCCGATGCAGGAAATCCGCGCGGACCTCCGAAAGTGTGTGTGTGTGTTGCCACCCGTGCGGCAGTCCTCACCTCGTCTGGGTTCACCCTCCGGGGCGCTTCCACCCAGCCAGCCTTCTTCTTCGCCCGGGGTCGTTCCCCAGGGACTTCGACTTCTTGCTGCTCCTGCACGTCACTGGCACCCGCACGAGTGCTACATGCTCTGATTGCGGTCCCTTTCCCTCCCAGGCGTCCCAGCCCCAGCGCTATCGCCTCGGCGCTCGCCCCCTGTGCCCCAATGAGTCTGCCTCTGCGCCCGAGTGCTTCCTGAACGCATCTTAGAGTCAAGACGCCGCCGATCCCCGCCGCCCAACAAAAATGTGTGTTGTGCAGTTCGTTATTGTGCTCTTGTGCCCTGAAGGCATCCTTGCGTGCGCTTCGTTTGCTGTGTGAGTCTTGCAGACGTTGCCGCGAAAGCCAGGAGGTGGCCAGCGACGAGCCAGATGCGGCCGTTCCGGACGGGCCGCTGGGCGGCCCCGCTCCCGAAGGTGGCTGGGGAGGGATGCCGGGCAGGTGGGGCCCACAGTTGATCCCCGAAAGGAGCAAGAACTGCATACAGTGGAAACCCATGCCAAGGAACACCATACTTACCTCCAGGGTGCCCTGGGTTTCTTGGGTTTCGATGGTTCGTTCTGCTATGGAAAGCGTTCCGCCCCCGCACCATAAATCGGGTCTCAGGGTTGGGTTTCTTGTGGAAGGTTTATTGTGGTCGAGCTCCTACTGCAATCGAAAGCAGCAGCATGGAAAGGGGATTCCCGACTGCAGCGTCCCTGCGGAGATCCGCGAGCAACGCCCGACCGTCGCGAGCAGGATCTCCACGTTCACGTCCACCTCCTTTCCTCCCTTTTTTTCTCCTCTTCATCCTCCTTCTCCTCCTCCTTCTCCTCCTTTTCCTCGTACTCATCCTTCCCATCTTGCTGATGCTCTTCCCCGACCACCTCGTCCACCCTCGCTTCCAACTTGCCTTGTTCCTCCTCCTCCTCCTCCTCCTTCCTGCTCCTTGGCGTCCTGCTCATACTCCAGACCCTCAGTCGTCCCATCGTGCCGTTGGTCTTCTCCCACCATTGGCGCATGCTCCTGCACCTCCTAATGCACGTCCAGCCCTGCATCCTCCTCCCCAGCCTCCTCCTCCTCCTCCTCCTCCTCCTCCTGGCCGTCCTGCCCGTCTCACGCGGTGGCTCACGCAAGCCGCTCGCGCGTCAGACCGCGAGAACGAGTGGGCGCTGACGCTCCACCCTCCGCGGGCAGCTCACGCGCGACTGCTGGCGCAACCGACCCCCCCTGCAGAAGGTTTCCGCAAGTGAGCGGACACAGAGCAGAGAACGTGCACCCGAGGAGGCGGTGGCCATGCACGGTGGCTCATTCAAGCCGCTCGCACGGCAGACCGCGTAAACATCAGGGCGATTACGCGCCACCTTCGCCGGCAGCTCACGCGCGAGTGCCCGCGCATTCAATCCCCCTTGAACTTCTGCCCGCCCGCCCCCTTGCCCCGACCTCCTTTCCGCGAGTGGCTGCGCAATCCACCCCCCTTTGGGATTCCGTTTGCGGTTGCGGGTGCGGTTGCGCGCGCCCGTGGGCGGGTTGAAATGTGTCGCTTGGTTGCGGTTGTGGTTGCGGTTGCGCGCGCCCGCGGGTGGGTTGACGTGTGTCGCCAAGTTGCGGTTGCGGTAGCGCGCCCGCGGGCGGGTTCAAGTGTATCGCCTGGTTGCGGTGGTTGCCTTGGCGGTTGCGGGTGCGCGCGCCCGCCGGCGGGTTGAATTGTTTCTTTTGGTTGCGGTTGCGGTTGTGCGCGCCCGCGGGCGGTTTGAAATGTGTCGTTTGGCTGCGCTTACGGTTTGGCGCGCCTGCGGGCGTGCTGGAATGTGTCGCCTGGTTGCGGTGGTTTCGGTTGAAGTAGCGCGGGTTCGCGCGCCCGAGTGCGGGTTGAGATGTGTCGCCTCGTTGCGGTTATGGTTGCGCGCGCCCGCGGGCGGGTTGAAATGTATCGCTTGGTTGCGGTTGCGGGAATGTGTCGCCTGGTTGCGGTTGCGGTTGCGCGCGCCCGCGGGTGCGGTGAAATGTGTCGCTTGTTAGCGGTTGCTGTTGTGCCCCGCGGGCGGGTTGAAATGTGTCGCCCGGTTGCGGTTGCGTTTCCGCGGGCGGAGTGACATGTGTTGTCAGAAGTGCCTTCCAGTTCGGTCCGTCCAGTTCACTCTATTTCAGTTCAGTCCATGTCAGTCTGGAGGGCACGGAATTTCACCCAGCCGCGCAGGGAAACATCTTTTCGCGGAGGTCCGCACAGATTTTTTGGATCGGCGCTGGACCGTGCGCCAGGGGCGGCGCCGGAGGCGCCGCCGGGGGGGCCCATCACCGATTCAAGGAATCAGGGCGGAGCTCAAGGAAATTAAGTTTGTGCCATTTTTGTTTTGTTTCGTTCTTGGCGGTTTCATGTGAGTCTGAGGCTCCGCTCGCGCGGGTCGAGTGGAAGCATCACCACCCCTGGGCGCGCTGGGTCGTCTGTCTCGCTGGGCGGTGGCGGTGATTCCAACGGGGCTGCAACTCCTGGGGGGATGAAATTGACATTCGGCGCTGGTATATCCCTGGTCGAAGACTGGCCCAATCTGGTATTATCCCGCTTATTCCGGCCTGGTCCCGCTTGATCCAGCCCGATTTTGGGTTTATCGGGTCTGATTTAGCTCAATGGCCACTTAATCGGGCTTGCTAGCTTTTATGCGGACTGACGAAGACCTTCCAGGAAATGCCTCCTAGCAGACAGGAGGCCGCTTTCCGCCAAGCTGGTGGGGAGCGGGCTGGCGGCGGTGGTGCTCCAGTTCGGGCCGTGGCGCAGGGCTCCAGCAGCGCAGCCAGGGTTTTGGCCCGGTCGGGCCAGCCAGAGGTAGACTTGCAGAAACAGCGGCATGCCCAGTATCTCTGTACCCACCTATGCGAGAAGTTTGATACATGATCCATGTGCTGCGTTGATGGTTTCGCAGGTTTGGTATGCCTGGCGGCGGTGTGCGCACTCATTCCAACACGATCCATCAATGTCGCCTTCGCTGGGCTAGAAAGCACTGTAACATTCAAATGGCGCCCATTGATGAATGAATGAAAGATGACATTCTGATAAAGGCCTCTTGTGCTGTGTGGCGCCCCATGGGACGCCCCATCTCTCGACTCCAATCGATGACGATTCCTGTATCCTCACCAGCCCATCCAGAAACGATGCCCAGGCGGATTACCTTCCTCGTTGAAGTCTAGGAGCAAGCAGTGGAACATAGGATGGGTGCAGCCGCCAAACCAAAGCTCGGGAGCAGCCTGAGCAGCCCCAGTAGGCAATCAGAAATGCCTTCGCAGATTCCTCACGAGTCACGATGGGAAGATATTTCGATCTAGTGTGGGTCATCTTGGGGCATTCAGGAAGCCCGTTTGGCGCTGTTGGGGTCCTCCTGGGGCCAACTCAGAGGTTCTCGATCGACTCCCCCCTGTCGGAGCCCGACAACTCGTTTTTAGGGGCCCCATTCGAGTGCTCTTGGACCCTCATGGGGCCGTCTTGGAGCCCTGCTGGGTTTTTCTTCGGGGTCTCCTTTGGTGATCTCGGAACCATCTTGAGGCTTCGGAAGCGACACACTACGTTTGTATGACTTAAAGCTCTCGTTGAGAGACTCGGTAGCCACTTTCATCTGTCTTGTATCATCGTGGAGGCAGTTATGTCGTCACCTCGGGCTACCTGAAACATTTGCGAGGCCATCGTTGGCTACATGAGGCCATCTCGCAGCCATCCTGGGCCATTTGGGACGTTCAAGCGCATCGCGGTCCCCCCCCCTCCAGATCTAGGGGAGGGGGGGTAGGGAGCGGGGTCAAGTTCACAGCGGGAGCGCCGCAAGCTGCTTCGCTCACTCCCACCCGCCTTCCCATTGCATAACTAGCATCCGAGTCTGAGCATAGGCAGGGGTCGCCATCGGCAACCGTGGGGAACTAATGCAGACGCCAGCCAGGTGCACGGCGCCCGCAAGGTGCGCCGCCCATGCAGGGTGTGCCACGCGCAATAGGTGCGCCACGCGCACCAGGTGCGCCGCGCGCACCAGGTGCGCCACATCGGGCAATAGATCGTCCCCCCCCATCTATGCCAAAAACCAATGCACATTGACGGCGGGTTTGTCAGCATTGAGTAATGGGTGTCTACACGCGCAATCACTTTCCACCTGGTTTTGACGCATGGTGGGCCTGCACACCGCAGGCTCTCCGCCGCCCCCCTCAAGAACCCATGCGAAGTTGTCGCGTGGCGCCCGCGCATGATGTAGATTGTGGTGCAGAGTGTACTTTGCATTGCTTGGCGCAAGATGGTTGGGGTGCTGCTAATCACACAGCATACGATATCTCGGCCCCCGCTCCGTCCCTATCGAAAACCATGTCAAGTGATCGCGGGGCGCACACGCATGAATCAGATTTTGATGCAAAGTGCACTTCACGCGGTTTCTTTCCCCAGGGATGTTGGGGGTGCTGGCATTGCACACAGCAGCCAGCATGTGAACACCCCCACCATCCCTGTCAAAAAAGCAATGCCAAGTGATCTCGGGGCGTCCGCGCATGATCCAGATTTTGGTGCAAAGTGCAACTTGTATTGTTTGACGAGTGCTTTCTGCCGCTGTTGGCAAGGCCACCCCCCGTTTCGAACCGAGTGGGAAAACAGCCTCCCATTCCGAATTTGGGCGGGGGGGGCGCAGACCGCATGTCGGACCAATCCCAATCGACTTGCACAAATTCCAACAGGGCCACGTCTCAACCACCAAAGAACCATTTGGTACCAATTTCAACCAGCAATCTGGAGCCTACACTCGGGTTTTATGTGTAGAGCATTTTACGACGAGTCAGAAATCAAATGCGCGTTTTCATTTAAAGAGCGCCACGGTTGACATTGGAATCCGTATACTTCCAAACATCACGGAGCTGTGTTTTTGTGCAACAGAGCACAACAACACAACAACAACAACTGGTGGCGTAGGAGAATTGGACAGCGTTCGTACGACAGTTCATCGGCGAGCAGTAGATCACAAACAGAAAGTGAATATCCATCCAAAAATCGGTATTGCAGATGTTCACGTTTCAGTTGCCGAATGGAGCCGGAAAACCGGATTCATATGCGCAAGTTTTGCGCAAATGATTTGGCGCGCACAGAGCCCTGAGGAATCTCTTATGCATTTAGGGGGATGTTTGAAGAAGCCCTGAGGAACTCGATCCCACTCTGAAAAATAATGGGGGGACCTTCTCTGGTGAAGTCAGCGGAATTCTGAGGAGCCCCTGAGGAACCTCCCGAGGATCCTCTCAGGCTTGGTAGCGGGCGTGGGCCCCAAACAGTGAGTCTCTAGCAATATTTGTGTGGTGCCGCACACACTGTGCAATCTTTGTGGTTCAGTCTGTGATGCGCGATCTTTGATGCGCAAGCGTGGTGCAATAGCTATGTTGCAATCTACGATGTTCAATCTATGCGATGCGATCGGCGCGTTGCAAT